AAGCTCATCAAATTGCACGGAATAGATTAATAAAGAATAAAGAAGTAAATAAACGATATTATGGTAAGAAAACAAATACGGAAGAGTTAAAAATCAATGATATGATCTTACTTAAAGACCATACTCAAAGAAATAAATTAAGTCCACTTTGGAAGGGACCATACGAAGTACTAGACGTACTAGATTCGGAAAATGTAGTTATATCACGAAACCGCAAGAAAGTGACAGTACACAAAAACGATGTGAAACTGTATTACGAAGATAATAATGTAGATAATGAAGAAATCACAAACACATGACGAAGTTTTAATTATACATAATTAAGTAATAATAGAATAGGATAAAATGTATTTATAAAGCATAATAAAATATATATATTATATAGCACAGATATAGTATAGGATACGAAATACTTATAGTACACAAATTAATTTAAAAAAAAAAAAAAGAGAGAAATCAATAAGGCGGATTTTTCACAACAAGAAGGAAGTGGAGACGACCTGTTTAGCGCAACTTAATAAAAGTCTGAATTCTCAATTAAATAACTTAACACCAGAATTCATAAGAAATTATATTTTGCATGGAAATAAGATAAATGTAGTGGTATTGTTTGGGGGATCATACGATAGGAATATCCTAAATAGATTAGGGTTAGGAGATATACAAATACTAAATATTAGATGCTATGATTTAAATTTCGATGGGGACTTTTACATGATATTGGAAAAATTAAGGGGAAAGATAACAGAAAGAATTTTCGAATTTAGTGTAGGTAGAATCCAAAAGAATGGTAGGCTATTAAATTTAACGGAAGCACATAGTGGCATATGTACACATAAACACAAAATAACGTATGCTCACGATCCAAAAACCGATGTAAGATTTACAAAGTGTATATTCAACAAAATGGTTAGGGAGTATGGGTATCAAAATTTAGTAAAGCAATTCCAACCATTATAAACAATACCACGTACATAGATCGACGTTGTGAAATGTAAATTTTTAACGAATTTTAATTTTTATTATGGCAACTAACAAATAGCTTAATTAACACATTAAAGTAAATAAAAGAACAGGAAGTAACGATAGATACTAGTAAATAATTAAATTAGAGCTAAAATAGTAATCAAAAATAAATTAATTTCAGAATAGGAACGGAAAAAAAAAAATACGATTAGAAAGCGAACGGTACATAATAGGGACATATTTAATCTATTATTGTTGGAGATAGATAAATGTTGCGTTATTATATACCGAACGGTTTGACAACTTAAGGAAAATATTGGAGTTTGATCGTTTGGTGGTTGGTTCGAAAATCGTGTGTATAACGGATTTTTTAACGGAAACACCAACGGATCAAATGGCCAATAAAACTCAATAAGAAGTTACAAGGACAAGGTCTTGTTAATTTAGCTTGTGTCGAAAGAGAGTGCTTTGATTTTCAGCACACTCTAACGTCACGGGTTCGATTAGCAAGATAAAAACACATACGAAAATAGAATAGAATAAAATCAATTTAGTACTTGTCTCGATCATGTAATGGAACTTAAATACAATAGTTAATTGCTTGGTCTGGACCTGTAGTAAAAAGATACAATCAAATAACAGTATAGGAATAGTAATATTAACTAGATATAAAATATAATAATATAACGATTAATGGAAAATATATATATAGGAACAAACGTAAGCGTAGAAAGAAAAAAAAAAAATGAAAAAAAAAAATGAAAAAAAAAGGAAATTTAGGATTAAATTTTTTATATAGAATAATATACAAATACATAAAGGAACATATTAGCTTATATTGGACTTAATTAACATGGTGATGGGAAAAGAAATATATTAATCTAATTTATTCAAAATATAATTAACATGGTAATGGAAAAAAAATATATAACACACCAGTACACCACTATTTTATCGTATATATATATTGCACGGAAAAAAAAAAAATATATTGTAATAGATTTTAAGAATTCATATTATATTAAAGGATTAATTTATACTATATTAACACTAAGATAAGATTATTGTTGTAAAACAAAAAAAAAAAAAAAACGAAAAAAAAATATATTGTTAATCACATAATATACTAACCTAGATAATAAGTAAAATATATACTGTAATGTTGTGGATTATAATTTGTAATTGTCAATAACATTTAATAAATATAACCAGAAAAGTATGGTGGAATGTACCATATAATTCAATAATGTAACTAAATATCTGTAACAAACATCATATTATGTAAACATGTAATAATTGAATGTAATGAAATAATTTATATATGTAACTTGTAACCACATGGAAGTGCTTGAACTAATGGAGGGATGTTTGAGTTAATTTTTCTCATTTTAGACGATAAAAATCAACTTTTAAAGGGGGAGATGTAGTAAGCCAGTTACTACGAAACAAATACTACCAATTTCACGGGTGCATAGTTAGTTTAATATACTGTAGAACGGCCTAAAACATAGCTATTACAAGAAAGTGGTTAGGTCTCCTTACGTTGAATGTAGTGAGACAAAACCACTGAATACTCAGGACGAGGGGTTCAAAAATAAGCATATATAATATTTTACAGAAACACTATACGCGACAAATGCAAGAGTAAAATGATTATTTTAATAATAATCATAGATTGGAAACGCAGTCAATCGTAAATGTGTGGGCTGGGATGATGAGCACACAAATCACATCCGTGAGAACCGAGATATCGTATATGTAGGCAAGGGGTACGGGGAACCTCATATATAAGGGAGCCCGAATCGGCCTGTATTCAGACGTGTACTACCACCCATTAGTGCAAGCACCTTCACGCCACTCTGTTGAATATTATTTGGACTTAGAAAAATTATCGAACATTAAATAAAAAATTCACAATATATTACATCTGTCTTATCATTCATTGTCTACCACGACTACAACATCAAATAAAGTGTCTGCGACCTGATCTAATAATAACTTGGTTGCCACTTATCTACTGTCAGTACTACGATAGTAGGTACCAAGCATCCAGGCTTATTACAGAACGAACATTTTAGTTTAGTATTTAACTATGTATGACTGTAGTACTGTACATAGCTATTATAGTAATTTAATTCAATGTTTTTAAAATTATCTTACAAGTTATAACATTGTATGGTAAATGTCTTCATTCTTGTTCAGTTCGGTTTAGTTGCACCTGTACAATTTTTCGTAAAAACACAATTTACGATGGAATTATATACAATCCAATATTAATAATAGACACACAAAAAAATATTAGCACAATTTTTACGTTTATTTGAGTATCGAGTGTCATGCAAATCGAATTCAATTTTCTTAGCTCTATTCTTCAGTACCAATGTTTATAATAATAGTATCTTGTATATTTTTACAAAAAAAGATAAAACATACAATTTTGTATCTTTGATACTGCCCAACCCAAAAACTTTTTGTTTTTTATGTAATTATTCTGAATTAATATTTCTATATTATAAACTTTTTATCGTACATACTATAGAAATATTGATATGGAATCATTACATAAAAAACAAAAAGTTTTTTCTGGACACTTGATTGTTATATCCTAGATTTTATGCAATGCATATAGTTACGCAGTTATGAAGTATAAATAAATTGAAATTAAATTAAAAGCCGATGGCCAATAGTCCAGTGGGCTAGTGCCTAGTAGGCAGTATGGAACAGTCAAATTAAACGAAAAATAGGCTCTGAACAATTATTACGAAGCTGAATTTTAGTATACACCTATTATTAAGCTTGAAATATCATTATCTACATCATAATAATATACGAGTAAAATATTATTCGAGGTCAATGGTCACGAAACTTGATTTTTGTAAATATCTCACTTTTCATTTTGTCGTATGATAAAAGTTCCATCCACACAAAAATTATCTAAGAGATGATAATCTACATATTAAGCAGTCTTAACCCTGAAGATATTACAGGGGAATAATTAAAATTTTTTTAAAGGTATGCGAACAACTAGGAAGGACAAAACTATATTCACCAGCCCAGTATATATTGTGTCTACTAGGTATAGAGTTATTACAAAAAAGAATTTTCATAGTTTCCATGTAATAATCGAATATACATTACAAATATTGTATGCTCAATTATACAATGGGTCAGTACTCAAATATAAATTTGTGTATACCTACACTATTGTATCAAAAAACATTGTACTTATTTTTTTTTTTTTCAAAATACTGGGTCCCACTGAAAGAACACTCGTGGGAGCTCACTAGTTCTAAATTACCTTATAACTTCATAAATAGTGTATTTTTAGTAGTTTTTAATAAATTTTTCCAAACAATTAAAAAAGGGTAAATTTAAAATGTTTAGTGTTGAAAGAACTGTATCTTGTAGGTATTTGGAAAGCAAGGATCTTCAAATTCTTAAAAAAAATAATTTATATTGATTAGAACAGAAGTTATTTCATTTATAATGTTTCTCTGTTACATTCTGCATATTATGGTACACGTAAGTAATTATGTAGATGCCTACGGTTTATTGAATAACCGTTGCACTTAACATTTTTTGTATTTAATAAACTCAAGGTTAGAAATAATTATATTTATAACATTGTTATTTTAATATATCGTTCTCCTTAACTCATAATAATATTAGATTAATTTACGTTACAACATTGTATTTTGGATCATACGACCGGAGAGCTAATATTTTGCATACTCAGTGCGCCGTCTGATTAACACTATTAGGTACCCACCTATGTTTTAGAATATCGCACATTTTCATATTAGAAGTAGCACACAATTAAACTATGGTAAGACCCATGAGTAGTTTTAGTAAATATGCCACAAAAATATGAATACGAACAAATTATTATTAATTTTAAAAAATATATATATTAAGCATATCTACTAATAACTTATATCCCCCTAAAATTACATTTTTACAGGGGATAAAAATATCAAAGTGTACCCCCCAACCATATGCAATTTGATTTCAGGCCAACAATGTTTAAAAAAAAATTACCTTCTCCAGCATATAAAAACATAAATAATTGGTAGATAGAATCCATTTATGTGTACATATATCGTATACATTTGTAGGAAATGTTTAGGCGCGTATGAAAAAGTACCGTCAGCAAATACATGTTGCGCATTATTTAATAGTGACAAGTTACTAGCAGTCGTAAAAATAGGAATACTATCAGCAGATTCCATAGAACAAAATTGCTCACCCTTTGAAAAAAAATCTGTTTTGCATTCATATATCATAGCTTTTGCTTCTAATAAAGATTTTGGAACTTTAGGAAATAACTTTGTCATTTTGATTGAAATAATATTGTTGTCGTCATAATCATAATTTGGTTCAGTTTGCATTTTATTTGAAAAATTGTTAAATGGCTTCATTCATTTTACATATATTTTCTGTATCTATACCGCTCTAAGTTTATCTTCAAACTAAGTCACTTAACTATACCATGCAAGCTTGATCAATGATTAAAACGCTAACAAATCAAATTTTAAATAAACATAACATTGAAGAAATTTAATATTTGGATGAAATATCCAAAAACCTAACTAAAAAAATTAATGATTTTTTGTAAATAAACCAGAGATAGACAGGATGATTATAAAATAAATTAAGTATAAAATTATGTTGTTACTGAAATTACGTGCATATAACTAAATAATTTAGGTTAAGCTAAAAGCCAGAAATTCTCCCTGGCCCCCTTGGTAGCCAGGCTAACACTGTTAATATAACATCTGTAACATAGTAACTAATATCATATTAATATATTTATGTACAATGTACATTGCATATAATGTCCTAAGAGGACGCTACCCATGCATTTGTTGTCTCCGTCTTACACACGCACGACATAGCAAATTTCCATTCGCTAGTTTAAATAGTATGTTGTTAGGTTTAATAATAGAGTGAATTGACCTATTATCATACTTTTAGGTAAGAATATTATCTATGCTTAAGCGTTAGCGATTTTTCAATATTTTCATTTTCAAGTAAGATATGTGTATGTGAAATATCAAAAATTGAAAATGCTCATATCTCACTTGAAAATTAAAACATCAAATAAAAATCAACTCTTAAGCACAGATAATGTTATTATCTAAACATGTTATAATAGATTAATTCACTCTAGTATCAAAACTAAAAGCATACTATTGAAACTATGAAACTAGTGAACAGCAATTTTCTATGCTGTGCGTGTGTAAGACGGAGACAACAAATATATGGGTAGCGTCCTCTTAAAGCATTTTTAACGGTACAAGAAATAGTTAAAATAATGATATAATATTATAATAATTTAGAAAAGTGTTACTAAATATTGAAAAAATAACTGTTAGGTATATTGTTTTGTTTTTATTTAATCTAAAAACTACAAAATATAAAACCTTGTACCTACGTACATTGTTAAAGATATTTGTCACTGATGGCGTATGAACTATCTTTATTAAAATTTTTTTTGCATAATTTTATTTTAATTTTTTTCCTATACTGGGGAATTATTATTCCTTCGGATATAAAATGTTTCAATTATAATTATTTCTATTATATCATAACTATATTTTGTAAATTATTGTAAATTATTTTGTATTATCTTTTGTTAAAATACCAAAAAATAAAATAAAATCATGTACCGAACACAAAGTTTAGATGACCATTGCCAGGAAAATTTTTAAATAACAAACAAATAATAAATAATAATATAAGGTATAATTGTTATTTTAAATTTTATACGATATATACATACAAATTAAATAAACAGATGTATATTGTTATTTGTTAAATTTCATATTTGAATTAGGTATTATATTAGTAAATAGGTAGTAAATAGGTATTTATAAATTGTTTAAAAAAATTAAATATATTGTCAATACATTTTTTCAGTTACCTTTTTTCAATATATTTTTCTATAGCCATTATCATTAATGGACACATAATATGTTCCTCCTTTATGGTTAATTGTACTTAGTTGTATTTTTCTAATCTTTGATTTTGAAAAAATTTTTCTCATGGCACTTCTGTGAATGTCAAAATTAATTTACATTTGTAAACCATGAATAAATTACAAAACAAATTTAATTGAAAATGTAACTCAAATTATAACAAAACACAATAAATATTAAATAAAATTTCTGTATTTTTTCTGTAAATTTATCTTCACTCTCACTATCAACATTTGTATGAACTATTATTTTGTTTGTATTAATTTACTAATTCAATTTAAATAAATAAAATTAGAGCCTAGTCTAAAAAAAATACTGTCCGTTGCTTCGGAGTCACTGCATAGGTGTAGAGATGCGTTTTGTATTATACTATATATAGTTTTATAAAATTACTTTATATATGTGGTATAAAATAATTTTATACAGGTTGTATATATAAAAATATATTTGTCAATATTATTAGAAAATTAATTAGATATTTAAGAAATAATTCACTATGAATTGTAATTACATTATTTTTTAATTAAAATTATTTCTAATCACTAAGTTAAACAATATTTTTTTGGCATGTCTTTAAAAAATTAATTTAATTTAAAATGGTTTTTGCATTATTGTGGTTTTAAAAATGTTTTCTGACATTAAGCCATTTAAAAAATGATCATAATATACTATAGTTTATTAACTTCTGTTCAAAATCCAATTATTTAAGATACTGCAAAATTCTATAAGGTATATTTCCTACTGGTGTAACAATAAATTAAATACCTTATTATGTATTTATATTTTATTAGTAAATTTAAAGTAAAACAGTTTAATACATTAATAATATTAGGTAATTTAAAATGTGATAATCAACAATTCACAATATAAATAATAATAAATAACCAATTAATATTAACAAGTACAATTTTTTAGTTTTAGAATTAATGATGGCAAAGAATCGTTAAAAATATCAATATTTGGCATATAATTAATAGATCGACAAGCACGATCAAGAGGGAAGCGTAACCATAGTTAGTGGTGTGAAAATTCGTTTTAATACTTACTGTATATTAGGAAATTAATTTTGTTTTTACACTGATAGTTTTTACCTTTCAGTTTATATTATGTGCCACCCCAATTATGTTTTGTTTCCCATTTAGTGGTGCTTATTAACTTAAGCAATATTTACCTAAAGTTGTGCATTTGTACTCACACATACGATGCTCGCTTATGTGAAAAGGACCGTACCTAGGAATTTTTTGAAAGATTATATTATATTAAAATCTGAAGTCAAAAAAATGAAATGGTTTTTAATTTTATCTACTCTATTTTACAGTTTTTGATGTAGTAGAAACACTTATTGATAATTCACACAAATACATCAATGATAAAGATGATTTAAATTCATCGTTACCAAAAGTAATTGCCAAAGACATCCAAATGCTTCAAAAAAGTTTACCAGCAGGAATTTGGGTGAAAACTTTTGAAAATCGTTTGGTAATTAATAATATATTACTTTTAGATTCTGAGTGAAACGATGAATGTATTGATTTTACAATGATGTGTGTTTTTTTTTTATTTTTATATTTATTTTTTTTGTGTCTGTGTACACGATAAGTAGTCGAAATAATGCTTCGATTTTCGACTTCAGTATCTTGTTCGATTGGAAAGTGAATATCGTTGGTGCATTGGGGAGGTCAAAATTTAAATTTCCCAGTAGTTTTCAAGAGCGCCGGGAAAAACAAAAGAAAAATTAAGGAAAAACGGGAATTTTTACGCAAAATCGATTTTTCAGAAAATTGAATTTGGTTTTTGGTGTAACTTTAAAACAAATGACCGTAGGCACATGCAATTTTCACTGGTTGTTTATATTTGCATCTTCTATACACGATAACATTTTCAAAATATTTTGATTTATTTTGAACAGTTTAGGGACATTTTCATTTTTAGTTTTTTTTTAGTTTTTTTTCTAGAAATATCAATAAAATTTTATTTGTTGGTTGCGAAAGCTTGAAAATTTAATAGAAGGTTCCTAATATATTGTTTCAAAGGCAGATGAAAAATATTAAAAATCCTTAGTCACAATTTTTTTTATAAGCATTTAAAGTTCAAAAATTGACAAAATATGGAAAAATCACGAAAATTAGCAAATTATTTTGAGTTAAGAATTCGTAAAAATTTTTCTTTTTAAATCTAAGATTTGAAAATCTAATACAAGATTACTCATAAGATTGTCTACCTTTATCAATTAAAACATCTCTACAGGAAAGTCAAATTAAATTTTTATGAGCGTTTGAAATTCAAATTTTTACAACATTGGATATTCACTCGATTTCTCATGTGGCAATTTCCTTTTTTTGTTGTAATTAAAAAACGAATTACTGTAGATACATGAAAATTTCACTGAATGTTTATATTAGCATTTCCTATACACCATACAATTTTGAAAATATTTTGACTCTTTTTGAGCCATTTACGGACATTTTCAGTTTTCAATTTTTTTGGTTTTTTTTTTCTATAAATATCAATTAAGTTTTATCTGTTGGGCCAAAAAGTGTAAAAATTTAATACAAGGCTCCTGATATATTGTGACAATATCAGTTGAAAAATATTAAAAATACATAGGCACATTTTTTTTTTATAAGCATTTTAACATCGAATTTTGACAGAATTTTTCAAAATCTCGAAAATTATTAATCATCGTAATTAATAAATTATAAAATGTTCAGTTTTTATAGCTAAGGATTGAAAATTTAAAACAAGATTCCACGTAAGTAGTTAATTCTCTTACCGAAAAATCTAAAAAATATACAATCACAGTTTATTTTTATAGTAATTTTATGTTCAAATTTGGACGAAATTACATATTAAAAAACCTAGTTATTTTGTTGTGATTATATAATATTATTCGTGGGTACCTACTTGAAACTTCTAAAGTGTACTATTATATATATATGATAGTATCAGGGTTTGTTGTTAGTGTATAACGTGTTATAAGTACCTAATGGATATTGTGATAATGTGATATGATTAATTTGGAATTTATTATAGGTCAATTTTTTTTTAATACCATAGATATGTATATAATTTGTCTTAACCTAGACTGTCATACCGTCTTCGCTCAGAATCGTTTTTCTTATACAATGATATTATATCATTGAATTCAAATTTAATAGCATCAATTATACAGTGACCCACTTGTAACCTACTGTACAGCAGAGCGACATCCACTTTTTTGAATATAAAATTTAATTTAATTTAGCAATACCTACCTACTAAAGTATTATTATTATTTGAATAATAGTTAGAATAAGTTGAAAAAATAATAATTATTTCTCTATTTGTACCTTAATTATTTTTTATTTTAGGATTTGTTTTCTGTAATGATTAGAGGACCAGAAAAAACTCCAAATGCTGGTGGTTTGTTTCTATTTGATGTCAAAATTCCACCCACATATCCAATCCAACCTCCACTCTGTCATTATTATAGTTATTGTGACGACCAAGAAGGCTAGTCACCAAGGTTGCCGTTTATCGAATAGCCGCTATCGTTGCAGTTGTGTCCGCCGCCGCCGACGTAGAAAACGAAGTACGAATAGCGCCTGCCTCCGCGATCCTTACGTACCTACTTATGGAGGTAGTGCCATATCACGATTTCGGCACCAATTCTCATTACTCTGTTCAAATCACTTGTTTTCCCAAGCTTTTAATTAATTGTTAGGTATAGCATAGTTCTATCTCTTATCTCTTATAACTCTTATCAACAAAATACACTAACAATTTGTTATTATAGTTTCGTACTTGTCTTCATTAATATTTTTTTTTTAAATTTTATTACAATATTAATACAATAAGCATAACATTAATTTCAAACATCTACCTACGTAATTTATAAATTAAATTATAAGCTTCAAAAACTATGTATACGAGATTCAATCCAATATTAAAGATTTTGACTCATGCCAAAAACGGATAGACGGGTTTGCAGAATAAACAAAAACCAGTTGGCTTGGCTAGAAATACCAAAAGGAAAGGTCAATGTCTTGTCTGCAAGTAAGTTAAATATGTGGGTTAATATTGCAGTGTCGTCATGGTCAAGGCAGCTAGGCAGCAATCGCTGATCTGGGCCCCTAACCTTTTTTTTTTTGAACCAAAAAACATTAAGCCTCGATAAATAATTTGACAATATAAAATATTATGAAAACAAAAACACAATTGAGTAAAAATAATTAAATTATAAGTAACAGATAGGTAGGTAACAGACCTAGAAAGAATGCATGTATATTCCCAAACATACTGTGTTGTATATGCATGCACGTAAGCCATATGTGTATTATAGGACAATACTATATATGATACAAAAGTGTGAACTCAAGGTATATGACCAACTTGGTTCTCACAATGGTCTACATGACCATACAATATTTTATACAAATAAAAACCACTAATACTATAATCCTACTTTGTGTTCCATTATTTCATGTGTCAATACCAAATTGACTGAATTGACTATAAATTACTAGTCATATGTTTTTAATTTTAGAAACTAATACCATTATCCATAATATATTTTTGTAATTTATCAGTGAATTTCTAACATTCCTCCAGTTTCTAATTGAGATTATACGAGGAAAATTTAACAACTCCAACAAGTTCACGCCCGTGTTGTTAACATTTTATTTAAAAAATTGTTAAATGGCTTCACTCATTTTACATATATTTTCTGTATCTATACCTCTCTAAGTTTATCTTCAAAATAAGTCACTTAACTATACCATGCAAGCTTGATCAATGATTAAAACGCTAACAAATCAAATTTTAAATAAACATAACATTGAAGAAATTTAATATTTGGATGAAATATCCAAAAACCTAACTAAAAAAATTAATGATTTTTTGTAAATAAACCAGAGATAGACAGGATGATTATAAAATAAATTAAGTATAAAATTATGTTGTTACTGAAATTACGTGCATATAACTAAATAATTTAGGTTAAGCTCCAAGCCAGAAATTCTCCCTGGCCCCCTTAGTAGCCAGGCTAACACTGTTAATATAACATCTGTAACATAGTAACTAATATCATATTAATATATTTATGTACAATGTACATTGCATATAACGTCTTAAGAGGACGCTACCCATGCATTTGTTGTCTCCGTCTTACACACGCACGACATAGCAAATTTCCATTCGCTAGTTTAAATAGTATATTGTTAGGTTTAATAATGGAGTGAATTGACCTATTATCATACTTTTAGGTAAGAATATTATCTGTGCTTAAGCGTTAGCGATTTTTCTATATTTTCATTTTCAAGTAAGATATGTGTATGTGAAATTTCAAAAATTGAAAATGCTCATATCTCACTTGAAAATTAAAACATCAAATAAAAAAAACTATTAAGCACAGATAATGTTATTATGTATTATTATTAATGTTGCAATTTGCTATGCTGTGCATGTGTAAGACGGAGACAACAAATGTATGGGTAGCGTTCTCTTAAAGCATTTTTAACAGTACAAGAAAAAGTTAAAATAATAATATAATATTATAATAATTTATTATATAATTATATAATTTAGAAAAGTGTTTTTAATTATTGAAAAAATAACTGTTACCTATATTGTTTTGTTTTTATTTAATCTAAAAACTACAAAATATACAACCCTGTAGGTACCTTTTTACATTGTTGAAAATATTTGTCACTGATAGCGTATGAATAATCTTTATTTAAATTGAAATATAAATTTCGGTTTTGCACAATTTTATTTGAATTTTAATTTGTTGCAGGTATTCCAGGATCTTTTCAGCAAAGAATTTTTAAGGTCCATATAATATAAAATTGTCTATACTGGCTCCTTTTCTTCAATTAACAAAAAAAGATAAGTGATAACATCGATAAAATCATTATCATTATATCTAAATCAAATATTTTAATTGTAATACATAATATTATATTATATTTTGTTATACATAGGAGCAGTATCAGCCTGGGATCTATAGGGCCTCGGAGACAAATTTTTCAGAGGGCCTTTCAAAAATACTTGTTTACCAGTTTTATTTGTTGCTACCTTTAGTTTAGTAAGAAAAGCTATATAGTTAAATTCAAACAATAATTACAAACTTTGAATCCCAATGGTTCATTCTACAGCAGGTTTTTATTTAATGAAAAAAAAAATAATAAAATAATTACAATATTATGTATATTTAAGTGTAATAAATAGTAAATAATATATAAAATAATATTAATTGTTTCAATTATAATTATTTCTATTATAATATCATAACAATATTTTGTAAATTATTTTGTATTATCTGTTGTTAAAATACCAAAAATAAATTAAAATCCTGTACCGAACACTAAGTTTAGATGATCATTGATAGGAAAACTTTTAAATAACAAACAAATAATAAATAATAATTTAAGGTATACATTTTATTTTACATTTTATACGATATATACATACAAATTAAATAAACAGAAATATATTGTTATTTGTTAAATTTCATATTTGAATTATTATATTAGTAAATAGGTAGTAAATAGGTATTTATATATTGTTTTAAAAAAATTAAATATATTGTCAATACATTTTTTCGGTTATTTTCAATATATTTTTCCATAGTCATTATCATTAATGGACACATAATATGTTCTACCTCATGGTTGATTGTACTTAGTTGTATTTTTATAATCTTTGAATTTGAAAAAATCTATCTCATGGCACTTCTGTGAATGACAAAATTAATATACATTTGTAAACCATGAATAAATTACAAAACAAATTGAATTGAAAATGTAACTCAAATTATAACAAAACACAATAAATATTAAATACAATTTTTGTATTTTTTCTGTTTTTTCTGTTAATTTATCTTCACTCTCACTATCAACATTTGCATGAACTATTATTTTGTTTGTATTAATTTACTAATTCAATTTAAATAAATAAAATAAGAGCCTAGTCTAAAAAAAATATTGTCCGTTGCCTTGGAGTCACTGCATAGGTGTAGAGTTTCGTTTTGTAATATACTATATATAGTGGTATAAAATTACAATATATATGTGGTATAAAATAATTTTATACAGGTTGTATATATAAAAATATATTAGTCAATATTATTAGAAAATTAATTAGATATTTAGGAAATAATTAACTATGAATTGTAATTACGTTATTTTTTAATTAAAATTATTTCTGATCACCAAGTATATCAATATTTTTTTGGCATGTCTTTAAAAATTGATATAATTTAAAATGGTTTTTGCATTATTGTGGTTTTAAAAATGTTTTCTGGCACTAAGCCATTTAAAAGTTGATCATAATATACTACAAATAATAATAAATAACCTATTTTTCAACAATAATATTAAGAAATTTATTTTCTTTTTACACTGATAATGATCGTCAGATGAATGGACAATAAAAATATCACTTCTACTGTTTAGTAAGGATTTCCTTATTATATTACCGTTTTAAATGGTGGTAATTTTATATGTATTAAACTATTTTACTTTAAATAATATTATTGGTGAAAAATAATGTGTTATTCATATTATGAATTATGAATTTTTAAATTTTAAATGGCGATCATATTATCATATAAATTAAACTATTTTACTTTAAATTTTACCTATAAATAATACTTCTATGCTTAACAAAATATAAGAAAGTAATATAGTGAAAATAATTGCAGAAAAACATCAATATACGCAATTTTATATACGTTTCTAAACAAATCTTTCCTTCGGCCATCCATTTGTGTTTAAGAATGCCTCTTGACTAATAGATTTTAAGGAGCATGTTATAGGCAACTTATTTTGAATTCGGCATTTGACCATGTCAACTATGTGTTACTTATAATTCATAATCATTGGTGTGAGCATAGACCCAACTAGACCTACATATTTGGACAAATCATAACAAATTTCCAGACCTCCAAAACCTTAACACAGTTCAATATATATTAACAATAATTTAAATTGTACTATATTTTAATATAGAGTGAAAGAGTAACAGATTAAGAAAATACAACTGTCACAACTATTTTAATTTGATTGTTCTGTCCAGTAGATTATATTTATTTAAATTACTGCTAGTTCAGATTTAAGGATGACACATCATGGTTGCTGAATCTATTCAACCGAATAGATTCAGCAATCTCCAAACACCAGAATGAAAAAATTAAACAAACCTTTGTGTGTTGTTAATAACCGTTTATTCGGGTTGATATTGGTTAATATCGGTTTTAAGAAGTTCGGAAGAAATTTATCTTTTATTAGATAGTTTTTTTTTAATTTTAATTGCTTAGCCCCCTCAAAAAAAAAACTATAAAAAAATAGTAACTCCTTACTATGTCACTGCAAATATTATTAATTATATTCACAATAAAAAACTATGATTTTCTAACAAACAAACTTGCACATTTCTGGATTTTGACGAATTTCATCAAAATTCGATTTTCAGGTACTCATAAAAAATTGTAATGAAAATTTGAACTAATGCTCAACTTTTTTTTTTAAATAACAACTGGTAACAACTTATGAGGGACTTTGACAAATTGTGTAGTTGTATTTAATATTCAAGGTTTTTAACCGAGCAAATAATTATTTATTGACCCCATCTAAGGTTAAAATATTTGATAACTTCTCATGCTTATAAATATCTTAAAAAGAGTCAAGATATTATGAAAATCTTATAAAGGGAAAATTTCCATATAAACATTTGGTGAACGTATATACGGTTTTTCGTTTTTAAGTTACTTCGAAGAAACAAAATTGATTTTGTCGCTTAAAAATTTCCATTTTTCCTTTATTTGTTTTTTATTCACAATTTATTTATTATTTTACTATTTAATATGAAATTATTATTTTGCCTATTGTCTAATATTTTCAAATATTTTCATAAATATAATGAATTATAGATGTATATTTTTGATCAACTGATCAAATTCAGAAGCAATTATTAAATTGATAAATATACAAACTGATTATATTTTAACAAAAAAAAAAAATAATATTAAGAATAATATGTGTTTCGACTAATAACAAAAGAATAATCAAATGTTTTTTTACAAAATGTATCATTTTTATGTTGGAATTTTTAGCCACCATTGTTAATTATTAATTTTATTTAATTTTAAATTTGTCATGTTTTAAGTAGTTCAGTGGATCGTGGATCAAACATATACATTTATAATCTATTATATTTACGAAAATAAAAAAATTGTTATATATTTTATATTTTAATAAAACAAAATAATTTTATATTAAATAATAAATAATATTGTATTATGAAATTCAATATTATTAGTCAATATTAAACTTTAAAAAAATGGGGGGGGGGAAATGTCCCACTAGACCGAAAACTGTATGGGGAAAAAATGTCCCTGGGGAAATGTCCATTTTCCCAATTTACCAACTAGATTTAATTTTCCATCTTGGAAAAATTCTGAAGTAGAAAATCGAAGAATCTTTATTCCTCTAAAATGACTCACAAGAAATAAAAAAACATTGTAAAATCAATATATTTATCGGTCCAAAATATTTTTTTTCAAAATGAGCGCCAAAAATATTATGTTGACAACAAATAATATCTAATGTCCTTGTAGTTTGATATGATTGGTTGAGAATGTAAAATCAATTTTACCATATGATAACTCATTGCGTCACTTAAAAAAATAATAATTACGTGTATCAGTATTTCTTTATGAATCATTTAGATTTTCGAACAGAACACGTTTTTTCACTGACAATTAGGAATTTCTATAAATTTAAATAATTAAGTCGTATGTTTCCAACTTTCATTGTATAAAAACAATAACATGCATTGTGCGTTGATGTAAACTAGTGCAGGTATTTTCACCCGATCTCCTTTTATTTACGTATTATAAGGTGCAATAAAATAATGGAGAAAGATAATGAAAAGTTCTTTAACGATGATGAAGTGGCCAGGGTGTCTTCAAATACTGGCCTGGTAAAGTATGGTTTGGTTTTAACGACGAACACAATGCGGCCCGAAACCGAGTTAAAAAAGACTTCGTATAAGAATCATAATGAGATCAAAGTAATCTGGCATCCAAATGGTGATGAAGAAATTATCTCTGATGATGAAGTATATTACCCATATATCGACAATTTAAATGTTTTGAAACTAGATCCTTAATTGTTTTTTAATTTCCTAGGTTGTGTTAATGGATCGATCATTTATGCCAGGTGATGTAGTACGAAAAGTTAGTGAAGGCAAGCCAAGTCAATTTGGACATTGTGAAAATATTGATATATATGCCACATTGAAAATACTGAATACCAACAAAATAATAGAAAATATCAATTCCCGAAACTTTACTCCCACAAAAGTATGTACATATTTAATATTTTAAATATTAGGCAGCTATACTTACAAGTGATGGGCAACATATTGTAATACATTTTTGATATTGACATTATATCCAATTTTATATCAGGAAATATTGTAACAAGTTTTTTTTCTTATCTTCAATTAGCCATGTAAAGCAAATTTTTGAATTAAGAAATAATAATTATTAATTCAGTATTTATAATAATTATTCATTTTAATAAGTTATAACTAACGATTACAAAGATGTTAATATTTAAAATAATTAAAATTATTTTCGATACGATTGCGATATCGTACAACTTACAATAGCTTACGATATCAAGATACAATATCTGAAAAATCGCAACGATATACATACACACAATGATATTGTTATATATGTAATTTGTATTCTATTAGTGTCAAATCAAATGTTATAAAGTATGTATGATGCACATCTTATATAGGTATTTTCGAAAATGGAAATAAAATTTTCTTTTTATTGATATCAAATGTTATGTTGATAGTTTTTAGTTAATTTATTGCTACAAATTTTAGAAGTTTTATTTGTTATAATAATATTTAATTTATAGCCATTTGCAATTAATTCCTTGGTTTTTTATGAATCATGGGTTGGTAGAGTTTATGATGTCAAACGTAAAGTTACATTTGTTTCACAAGATGGATCGATTTTTACATTAGAGGACCCGCATAGAAGAGGCTTCATAAGTCTATCTACAAGTCATGTAAGTCAACTTTTATATTAATTATTCTAATATAGGAAAATACGAATTTGCAGAATAACTATTGTAAAAAAAAAATATTTTTTATACATTTCCTTTTATTGTTTATTAACTGTATTATTTATTACTAGGGCTCTGATTTTAAAGCATACTATGCTTATTTTTTTTATATGATATAGAAATCTAATTTTCAACCTTACATTTGTTTCATGCCATTCTTATTCCGAATAAACTAATTTATTTTATCTTTTTTCTACGTAAATACTGTTTTTGCTTTTCTATTGGTTGTTTGCAAATATTAAAGCTATGGCATTTTAATATGATTATTATGCTAAAGTAATAAAACAATTTTAATTTCATTAATAAGAAATGTTGACACCCGAAATACAGACTTAATGGTTATTGGATTATTATTGTTTTCGTTGCAAACATCTAAGACAATACATGGAAGTTAATTCTTTTTTAATTAAAATTAATTAACAATTTTTTATTCAATTTTATACCTAGTTTATGTTAATTGTTTTTCATACTTTTTCGCTTTTTTCAAACAATTTTACGCTTTTTTTGTTATTAAATCCGAGCCATATTTATTACCATTTTTAAAATAGCTTGTCAAATTTTTTTTAATTCTAATGTTTTAAAATTTTAGAGTTTTTCCATTGATGACAATGTATTTTATCATGGGCTAAAATTAAAAATGTGTCTAGATTCCTTAGAGAATGCAACATTTTTAACGATCAGTAACCTAATGAAATGTCTATGGCACAATTATAAGAAGAATATCAGCAATAAATTTGGGTCCAAGGTAATTAAATAAAGTAATTATATAAATTAGTTTTGATCCCATCGTACTATATGTACCATACATATTTTTAGTGGGTCAAAGTTTATGTTCAAGATGTTATTGTATCATCAGTTGAAGTTCAATGGTACAGCCAAACATCAAGTAGAACAAAGCCGTGTGAAGAATATTGGCCAGGGAGATTATTTACTGGTGATAATTTGAAAAAGTAAATACAAAAGAAAAATTAATATTAATGTTATACGAACAAGATAAATACCAAGTTATTTTATATATACCCTTGTTATATGTCGGTTGACCTAAGCCTCGTACTCGTAGAGTTAGAATATAGATTTGGTAATATTAAATTAACTAACACATTCTGATCAGTTATCAATAGTTTTCTAATTTGTATTAATTGAACATGTACTGTGGCGGCACTTTCTCCATTCTCCACTGTCCATCTTTCATTACTCATGTTACTATTATATCTTAAAGGACCATAAAACACTCAATATTGACTTTTATTTAAAAAATCACAAGAAATATGACTATTAAAATGGTACCAATAAAATTTTTTTATTTATACAATAATTTATATTTATTAAATTTTAAGTATAATAATAAATGTCTGTTATGATGAACATTTTATCAACACTTGGTGGAAAGAGAAACTGTTTACCTTTTTAAATTCTAGTTAGCTTAATTTTAAAAAGTTTGGTTCAGAATTATTTTGTTTTTGTAATCACAGTAATTATGTAATATCATTATTTTTTTAATATTGTAATAAATAAAGTGAACATAAAATTGTACACTATATTTAAATGTTATGTTCAAAAAATGAATGTGCATAACATGGTATTGCAATGTGGATATTATTATACATAAATGCAAATAAATAGTTTCATATAATTTATTTTATTATGGAATATTTGAACTGTTTTTATATTTTTAGACTAAAAACTATTGATCTATTTGAGTCGTGTACAATTCAAGTGGGAGACACACATTGGTATACAATTAAAGATACCGATTATTTGATGACAATGAAACAGTGGAGATCTAAATGTACAGAAGCTTTTAATATTGGATCAGGTTCAATACACAGTAAAACTAATAAAGATAAGCACCACAACAAACTTTTAGGTACCATAAAACCATCAAAGAGTTCACTTCCTATTGAGTTGGATGACTTATTATTAAGTATGTATATAAGGTATATTAAATGTATGTAATGACATTGTTTATTTTTTATTTTAATGACAGTTTTTAGTTTATATTTGATAAGATATTTAAGGTATTTCTTAAGGGGCAAAATTCAAGCAATTTCTGGTTATATGTAATGGCAGCCGTACAGAAAAATAAGATCAAACTACTGGTCGTGAAACTAAGGGGGGGGGGAGGATATATCCCTCATTTTTTTTTTCAATGTTCAATAATAAAATGGTGCATATGATAACATCAGTCATCGTTAAAAATAATTAAATAAAGGGAAGTAGGTACAAATAGTATTTTGATATTTTCATTACTTTACCATAATATTTTTTAAATAAAAGTCAATTTAATTGAAGAAATCTCAACTAATGCAATCTAACTAACTTTAATCTGTACTTATTATCAGTTTCTCTACTTTCAAATAAAATTACTCTGTCAATTAAAATGTATTAACTAAACAATGAATTATATTTTTTCTAAAACAATCTCATTACGCAATATAGTGGCGTATTTGAGATAATTTTTCAGGGGGGGGGGGGCAAAATAAGAAAATCTCTCAGCTGTTAAAATATAATTACATTTGAATATAATAGTTAATTTTTTTTTTTATTTGGTTAGAGTTTTAGACACTGGTTTAAACTTGTTCAGTTAAATATAAATTCAACACAATAAAAGCACCTTATTTATTACTCAAAAGTTTAAATTTGAACATAATAATATAGTCTAGTCATAGGTAGTCAACATTTTTATAATATAAGGAATATATTTCTTTTTTTTGTGGCAGCAAACATATCAATGACCTCATCTATTTGAATGTCCCTGTGTCTATTAATATTTAGTAAAGCCAATCGAACTAAGCGATCTTGTCCCATACTCGACCGCAACCAATTTTTTAACCTAAGTTGAAAAAGCAAAGCATTACAAAACAATTAAATTATGATGCATAAGCAAATGAGCAAGTCACTATTTTTACATAAGTGTGCAATTGGTCAGTTATAGCAGATGAGAAAATTATATTATGAATTATTAATTCAAATTGTCCCTAAAAATTATCAGTAATATGTGGTTATATAACTTTGTTATGTTTTTATAGACTTAAAATTTAAAGTAAAATATTGCTTAAATTAATATATGCAGCTAGAGATGTTAGAATAAGAGCTATGTTGTAAAGCTAGTAGGCATAAGTAATGAAACTCATTTGACAAATGCCCCTATTGCTCCCCTTAAATACGCCACTGATTTAATATAGAGTAAATATCAGAAAAAATAATATGCTATTCAATATTGTTTTATAGGTGCACAAAATGGATCTAATAGACACGCTTCAGCTGTTGCAAGACAAATAAATGAAAGAATGTTAAATGAGGAATATAAATTTACATTACTATCCAAAAAATGTGAATCTAAACCATCTAGAAGCACAACCGGTAAAATAATAAAAATATTGTAATTTTAAATTATATTTGTCTAAATATTGATGTTTTATCACGTATGCTTGTAAGGCTCCTAATATATTGTTTCAAAGACAGATGAAAAATATTAAAAATCCTTAGTCACAATTTTTTTTTATAAGCATTTAAAGTTCAAATATTAACAAAATATATAAAATTCACGAAGATGTGCAAATTATTTTGAGTTAGTAATACATAAATAAATTTCTATTTAAATCTAAGATTTGAAAATGTTATACAAGATTCCTCATATTCTTATAATAATATATACTTATTAACTTTGTCTACCTTTATGAAAAAAAAGTCTACAATCAAATCAAATTAAATTTTTATAAGCGTTTGAAGTTCATATTTTTACAAGATTGAATATTCACTCAATTTCTCTTGTAGTGGTTTTGTTATTTTTGTTCAAAAACGAATAACTGTAGATACAAGAAAATTTTACTGAATGTTTATATTTTCATTTTATATACACTATCAAATTTTGAAAATATTTTGACTCTTTTTGAGCTGTTTACGAGCATTGTCAGTTTTCCATTTTTTTAGTTATTTTTCTATATTTGTGAATACAATTTTATTTGTTGGGCAAAAACACTGAAAATTTAATATAAGGCTCCTGATATATTGTTACTTTACCAGTTGAAAGTATAAAGAATACATAGAATTTATAGTTCGATTTCGAAAAAATTTATCAAATTTAAAATTTAATATTTATTTATGTATAAAATGTTCAACTTTTATGTTTAATGATTGTAAATTTAAAACAATGTTCCACGTAAATAGGTTATGTATAATTTACTTTATTCAAAATAATATCATCAAATATTCTTAGTAATATAATAGGCTGACTGTCCATATTCGCTCAGAATCGTTTTTCTTATTTAATGATATTATATCAATGAAATCAAATTTAACACCATCCATTACAGTGACCCACTTGTAACCTACTGTACAGCAGAGGAACACTCACTTGCCCAACTTTTTTTTTTTAATTCTTGGGTTTTTGACAACTCTTAAAACTGTTAAGTGGTTTAAACATTTTTTTTTCATGATAAAATTTCTATTTTATCAGTTTAAAAATGTTAGAATACTCACATGTTACTGTGTTTAAAATGTAAACAGTATTTAAAAAAATATTAATTAGTTTCTGGGTTGTATTTTATGTAATAAGAATAATAGTATACTGCCAAACTGGATCTTTAAATATAATATGCATTATGTAATAGGTATGCAATGGGGTTTGGAACCCAAAAGATACACCACTTTAAGAACACATAAAATAAACAATCATTGTCTGAATAAATTGTAAAAATAATGTTTACATGTTAAAAAAAGCCTTTCTGTGTTATCTATTATACAAATGTATTATATATTATAATATATATTATACTAAACTATTTTATAAAATTGAATTAAATTCCTGATATATTCTTTAGGAAATAGTTGTGTATATACATTAAAATCGAACAGATTAAAGAGGAACCGTATGTTGGGATCATTAATTAAAAAAAGTAAACAATTCAATATACCTAAAGTAAAAACCAAACCAAATTCCAAAGTTGTAGTTGAGATTTGCTACACAAAATCTATGGTAGATGTTATATGGCAGGTATGTATTTGAATATATTTTTATACCTACTTTAAAATCTAAATAAGAATATACCAACAATTGACCAAATTCAGTTTTTGGTTTGCATGATCTTAACTTGGAGGTTCTCAACTATAATTAATACCAAATCATTAGTAACTTATCACAAAAACACAATATGGAAAAGTGCTGAGCAAGCATAGAAACATTACTAAAGTCATAAAGGAGGAATTAGGATCATTTAAAATACTTAGTTTATTTAATATTTATATAATATAACATTCAGTATCTTTTAGTTTATATTAAAGCTATTTGTTTTATAGGATGGTACTAAAGAAACTGGAGTTTCTTCCACTGATCTCTACCCAGTACAAACTCTTGATAATCATGAGTTTTTTCCTGGTGATTTTGTTACTGAAAAAAGTACTGCATCTGACGTTTATGGTGTTGTAGAATCTGTGGACCATGCAGAACGCACTGCTCATATACAATGGTTTAAAGTTTATCCTGAAAATCCATCATTGTATGAATTTACTGTGTTAATATTTCTTAAAACAATTACTGAATCTATTATAACTGATTTTTAGGCCAAATCCTATTGAAAAGACTTATTTTAGTGTATATGACTTACGTAATCATCCGGATTTCCATTTCCAATCTGGTTGTTTCATTATACATCCTAGTTCTGATACAAACCCAGATTTAAATACCTTAAATGCTGGGCAAGTATTAAGTGCAGGGCCTGATGGCAGGGTAATTTTTTTATACAATTCATTAAATAATAATATATTTGCATAAATTGTTAACATTATTATTTGTGTACTGTTTTAATTGTTTAGATCTTAGTGATGTGGGTTAATGGTGAAAAAACGAAATGTTGGCCACAAGAATTATTTGCTGTCCAAGTACATGGTGATGGCTTCAGTTTTCAAGATGTAGAATATGACTCCTCTGAAGAGTGGATGTATATAACCCTTCCGGGATCATCTAAGTAAGTTAAACTTATATTTAGCTAAGTTATAATGACCTAAATAACCATGAAAACATTACAATCTTATTGCATAAAATAATTTAAGCACGCAATTTAATTGTAAGTGTCTTATTAGCAAGTAACATGGTGCTGTGTACCGAGCATTACTAATATCGAGTGGCTCAACTCCAGCTATGTTGAGGACACTAGGAATTGGGCTTGAGCAATATGCTCCGGTGACTAGTCTTAGGCCCGTATTCTGTACGGTATCTATCATTTTGAGTGCTGATGCCTTACCTTTTATGAACAGAAAATAATTGTATTCGAGCTTAGATAAGATGAGTGCTTTGTATATTTGTAATAGGCCACAAGAATTCCAACTACATGGTGATGGCTTCAGTTTTCAAGATGTAGTATATGGCTTATCTGAAGATTCAATGTCTATAACCATTCCGGGATCATCTAAGTAAGTTAAACTTATATTTAGCTAAGTTATAATGACCTAAATAACCATGAAAACATTACAATCTTATTGCGTAAGATAATTTAAACACAGAATTTAATTGTAAGTTTCATATTCTAAATAAATATTCTTAATGCTATATTTTTCCAAGTAAATTTGTTTTAATATTTTATTTGTATATGTTATATAGTATAAGCTGGAACCAAGTACACGATAAGTGGAAATATGGAAGTCTATTAGTCCAATTACTAGAGCAATCTGTTACGAATTTAAAGTTATTTCTAGATGCTGTTAAACAAAATTGTGACACAGATAAAGTTCTTAAATTAAAAAAAACTTTGGAACAATATAGGTAATTTGACGATTAAATTCAAATGATTTTAAATTTATTTTAAATATAAAAATGGTATACTGATACATAGGTTAGGATTTAACGTCAGTTCGTTTTTACCAACTTCAGAATGTAAAGAAAATGAAAAAGAAATAGAAACATGGTACAAGGATCTCATGGATAACATCTCAAAATTAATAAACAAAATAATCTCAAGAATAGGTATTATATTTGTTTGTCTTTAATTTCATAGATAACATGATTTATAATATATATGTGTATGATACTATAGTCCATGCCAAACGGACTAGCTGTGTTGACTCCGCCCCCAGCCGACACTAGTAATCAATAGGGTATATTTTGGGTAACTTTCACACACAAAAACCGCATTCCTATAGGTCTTATATTTATAGAGCGCCAAATAAATTTGTAGTACCAGCTGTAGAACGCCTCATGTTGGACGGAGTCACCAACCGCTAGTTTGTTTAGCTTGCACTCCATATAGATGGAGCCATAATTAGCTGACAGAACTAGATTGATAGCATTATTACTATACAATTAATTTTGTCATAAAATTAAATTATTTCAAAGTAATTAATAGATAGTTTGTGTATTGTATATACCTAACTTTTCTCTAATGATAAGTCAGATTTTTAAAAGTTGCATATTTACATAACATGATCAATAATAAATCCATTCTTGATAATATAATATGATCTATGTTAAGTTTATTTTATAATCAAATGTATATTTTTACAGATATTAAAGAGAGAGAAGAAAGAGAATTAGTTGAAGAAGAAGAACTGTCATATGAAATTTTAATTAAAGTAAATAATTGAAATAGCATTTAAGTTCATACTATTTCATACTATTTATTTTATATTGCATAGACTTATGCCATGTTGCATGAAAAATCACAAAAAATTTAATGAATAGTCCATGAATAGTCTAGCTATCCTTAAACATGATATAGTGGTCTATAATTAGTCCATTGAATTTCATTGAAGCATTAAATTAAACAATTTTTCAAGCAACCCAGCACTAATTACTTATTTATTTATAGGACAGTTTTACTACACTAAAACAGTTTGTGTCAGATTTCATAAATAAAGTTAATCATGTTTTCAATGAATCGTATCGTTCTAAGTATGAAATAATAAAACATTGTGATACAAAAGATGAAAGCGATGACTATAGTCTAGAAATAATGGATGTAACTGAGCCAGCATCTGTACTTCCAGTAATTGAACCACATCCTGCTGAATGTCGTTTTATTACATTGGATACAGAACCAGTATACGATGTAACCAAACCAGAATATAACCAAAGTATGACCAAACCTGAAGAAGTTGGAGGTTTGTACAGACTATAAATTCCAACATTTTTATGTACTACATATAAATCTTAAAACATGTTTTTTTGAATCAAAGAAGATAATCACTTCTCAATTTACATTACATTATATTATGAAAAAGAATGTTCACATCATATATTTCCACAAAAAATTATTTCACATTAAAAATCTTAAATCAATTTTAGTAAAATATAAAAATAATTTTATGAAAACAAATAGTTTAACTGCTTTAAATAATGTTTTGAGTATACGGCATAATGTTTAGGTTAAATTTCATAAAATCATTTGCCGTTGTATACATAAAACATTTATAAGTTTAAGGGCCAGTTGTACCGTCTACGATTAAACTATGATTAAGCTTAATCAGCTGATAACAGATATTTAACCGGCCAAATTTGGCCTATTAAACTGTGATTAACTTTAATCAGAGACGGTGCAACTGGCCCTTAGAGGAATTCACACCCGCATGTGTTGTCTCCGTCTTACAAATGTACAACATAGCAAAAACCATTTTGCTCTGGTCAATTTTTCTAGCACCATATTTGTTGTAGAACTACCAAATTTTTGCAACACTTAAAGAAGAACTCTATCTGTGCAACAGAGTGCTTTTTTTTGATTATCACTATCCAATCAATTTTTATAAGCAAATGAAAAAAAAAAAAAACAAACAAAACCAAATTTTTAGAAGCAAATAACTTTTATTGTATTATGTTATTTGAAATATGGGCAGGCTGTTGCATAGATAATTTTCCACCCTATATTTTCAGAAACTTTGGAGCCACTACTAGAAATACAGAAAAATAAAAGTAGTCTATCTCAAAACAGTTTTTGTTATGTTGTACATTTGTAAAACGGAGACAACACATGCGGGTGTGACAACCTCTTAAGAGATCGAATATTAATTCTAAGTCTAATATTTGATTTATAATATTATTAAAAATGTCTTAATCCATTAGTTTGAACTATGGTTTTTCAAATAAATTGAATATATATCTAACTGCTGAATTATATGAAACTATTATTCATGTAATAATTTAAAATAGTCTAAATATTTTGAATATTTCATTGTGTATAGAAAATGATACAAATATAAGCAATAGCGGTAAGTTTTAGTCCCTAATATTTTTTAAGTAGAATAAAATAGCCTTAAATGTAGGTTTGTATAGTAGGGATAATTCATGCTTGTTCGGTGTCCTTTTAAGCATGTTTCACACTGTCATGTATTATACCTACGCGTTTCAGTTTATATTATGTGCCACCCCAATTATGTTTTGTTTCCCATTTAGTGGTGCTTATTGACTTAAGCAATGTTTACCTCAAGTTGAGCATTTCGTACTCACACATACGATGCGCGCTTATGTGAAAAGGACCGTAGGCATTTTTTGAAAGTTTATATTATATTAAAATCTGAAGTCAAAAAAATGAAATGGTTTTTAATTTTATCTTCTTTATTTTACAGTTTTTGATGTGGTAGAAACACTTATTGATAATTCACACAAATACATCAATGATAAAGATGATTTAAATCCATCGTTACCAAAAGTTATTGCCAAAGACATCCAAATGCTTCAAAAAAGTTTACCGGCAGGAATTTGGGTGAAAACTTTTGAAAATCGTTTGGTAATTAATAATTTATTACTTTTTTGAATATAAAATTAAATTTAATTTAGCAATACCTATTAAAGTATTATTATTTGAATAATAGTTAGAAGAATTTGATAAAATAATAATTATTTCTCTATTTGTACCTTAATTATTTCTTATTTTAGGATTTGTTTTCTGTAATGATTAGAGGACCAGAAAAAACTCCATATGCTAGTGGTTTGTTTCTATTTGATATAAAAATTCCACCCACATATCCAATCCAACCTCCACTCTGTCATTATTATAGTTATTGTGACGACCGGTTGAATCCAAATTTATACGATGATGGAAAAGTATGCCTTAGTCTTTTGGGTACTTGGTCGGGTCGTGGTGTTGAATTATGGTCACCTAATGATTCAAATTTATTACAGCTTCTAGTATCAATACAAGGTGGTGAAAATGCATTTTTATACTTACTCTAATATTAATATTTTATAATCGTTTCAGGACTGATATTGGTGAGTGAACCATATTATAACGAACCTATATTTGATTCCCAGCAAGGTCAAAAGCTTTCAAAAGAAAACTCTCGTGTTTACAACGAAATGGCTCTGATCAAAGTAGTGCAGTCAATGACAAATATGTTAAACATGAATAATTCGTAAGTTATAACAAAATAGAATTAACAACCCTTTGACTATTGCATTAAAACATGATTATAACTGGCTGTATTGCATTAAATTAATTTTATTGGAAATAGTTTCTTTTATTGGAGATTTGCATTATATTTGCTGTAAAGAAGAATAAATTGAATACTCAATAACAGGATAATATTTGAAATAATTTATATGTATTGGGAGATATTGAATGAACATAATATTATAACATAAATGCTACTTTAGGATATTTATAACTCCTTCAGTTTTGCAGTTATACAACATGCAATATTCTTAGTTTCGCAATAACAGTTTGAACATTTAAAACAATGTTGAATATAATAAGTTTTTCAAATGATTTCCAAATTATCACCAATTATCATTCACCACTAGGTATGCAGTAAGTGCATGGATTTAAGACATTCCAATATTAAATTTGCTAGTTACTTGAGATTTTAAAAAAGCCCTCCCCCTTTGAGAATACCCATTATTTCTACATCATCATAATAAATATTATTTATTTTATAATTTTTTTTATTTTTCATTTAGAGACGTTAAAAATGTAGGGTATTTTGAAGAAGAAATACTGAAACACGTAAAAAAACATGGTCCCAAGTATGTTTTTTGAATATTTTAACTATGCAATATAATGATTTTAATTGTAGATTGACATATTTATCAATATTTTTAGGTTAATCAGTACAATTGAAAATTGGATTAAAATGTCTGAAAAAGAATTAACTGAAGGTAATAACTATTAATTCGACAATTATTAGTTCATTATATGTTATAATTGATACAGTTTACACCAAATAATAGTATTTATTATTTTGCATGTATAAATTATAATACTATTATTTATTTTTGTCATATTTAATTTTTAGACGAAAAACTTGTTCCTGGATATCCATTATTACCACTGTCCAAGGGTTTTTGTCTATCAATCATCAAAGCAATAAAAGATTACAAAGATGTATTGATTTCCATGAACATCATATTTAAATAATCATAATTAATAACTTTTAATTGTTTTATCCTGTACAAAGGAAAACATATCTAAACATACGTTTCATATTAAAGTTTCTATATTCCATTTTTAAATTTATTCTTTATGTTCAACTTTTCTAGCTTTCAACCTAATTAAGTATAATTAATTAAGTTATATTATCTGTTATACACCAATTACTTAATATTTGGACGAGAAAATAAATATGTGATTATAGAAAATGTCAATAAAATTATATTTGTAATGTAGAACAGCTTGAAAATTTAATACAATGTTCCTCACACATTGTTACAATATCAGTTTAAAAATATTAATAATAATATATGTGCAAGAGTTATTTCATAAACATTTAAAGTTAAAATTTCGACAAAATTTATAATATTGAAAATTTACAAATTATTTTACAATTAAAAATTTATAAAATGTTCAATTTTTATAGCTAGGGATTAAAATTTCAAAATAAGGTTAAACGTAAGTAGTTCATAATGTAACCAAATAATCTAAAAAATACAAATAGATTTTTTTCTTATAATTATTTGAAGTTCGAGTTTGGATGAAATTAGATATTTAAACAATGAAAAACAATTTTAATTTTGTGTTATAATATTGATTATTTTTATTATTTTTTATTATTATTTGAGGGTTTTTGAAACTTCTAAAGTACAAATAATATACATAACTTACCGGCTTCCGTTTTAATAATTATAATATAAAAAAAGAGGGTAAGTGGATGTCGCTCTGCTGTACAATAGGATACAAGCGGATCACTGTATAATGGATAAAATATGTACTTGTGTGTAGTTCACTAGTTTAAAATTCACAAATTTCTATAATTATTTAAACCAAGGTAAATCACATGATACACGATTGCCAAAATGAATAAGTTTTTATAATCTTAACTAAATATATATTAATGTAATACCATTTCAGTGCTAATCAAATAATGATTGCTCTCACTGAAAATCTCTTACACAAGAATAAACTTAAGTGGGTCGAAGTCGGTGCGTTTTGGGTACAAAAACATATCTTAAGGGAAAAACTGTCTATTCTGCAGAATAGTCGGATTTCGTTAATTTTTTTTATTTTATTTATAAGTGGAGAACATTTTTTAGGTCAGATCAAAGCCCGATTATGAAAATCAATATAATAGAAGCTGGAATATGCAATTGAATAATGCACAATATTGGTTCTTTTTAAAACGTATTTTATTACTACTATTTAGAGTAAAATACAAATTCGAGCTTTGATCTGACCTGCAAAAAATTCTCATATTTCAGAAAAAAATGACCAAAATCCGACACATCAATGAGGCGTAATGGTTTTTCCTGTAAAAGCATTTTTGTTCATCAAAATAGTGCCTCGACAATTATAGTCATCGTCCATCGAAGTCTATCACTGACTTGTGCATGCGTGTGCGTAAATATCTTTATCTGCGAGTGTAATTATAGCTCACTTACACTAATATTGATGTACACACATGCACGATCCGAGCTAGGTCGATAACACATGTGAATTGAATTGCCTACATTTTACTCCTTAATAAATGACCGGCAATTAACTAAATTTTTCATAACAATTAACAAATAATGGATACGCTCTTTCTAAAAAATTAAACAGGCTCCCATTACTTTTATTTTGCCAACCACAGCTGTAGGTCTGCAGCCTTGATGACAACTTAAAATTATTGAAAATAATAAAAACATTATTATTACCATCAGGAGTATTAAATAAAAAATATATTAATTGTTGTACCTATATTATTCTAATAGAATTGAAAATATAAAATACAGTACAGGTGTTAGATAAAATATATTTAAACCGAACATTTAGGTGATAACGTTTGCAAAATGATATGCAAATTTGTAGGTATACAATTAAAATATCAACGCATTATGATTAAAAAATGAAAATATTTAACAATTTTCAAAAATTTCTCTATTGTCTCATGATATACTATAGGTACTTACGTTATAGTTCACGCAGTAAAATAAGTCAATAAAAGTTTCACGTCTGCATCACAGTTACTCAATTATACCTATTTAATAAATAGTAATGATGAATTTTACATATTATATTATTAGCACGTTTGCGTTATTGAATACGTCGTATTCAATTGTTTGATTATTAGACTGAGGCATTGTATGCATCCGGAAGTACATCGCTGCTTGATACAGTGTACAAAATCTAAAATAATAAAGTTCAAAAATTGTCAAACATGCAAAATCTAACCTTGTATACCTACTTAATTTTACCATTTCACAAAACAAATTTATATCTTATACTTCAAATAATATACGACCATCAAACACAATCATAATATGCAACTGTAAAATATTCCAAATACTAGAGTTATATAAAATATACAGTTGAATTTGGTTAACTCGAAGTTTAAGGGACCGACGAAAAAGTTCTAGTTCTCCAAGAATTCGAGTGGGTAATCCAAAAAACCAAAAATAAAAAATTAGGTTAGACTTTTTTTTAAAACAAGACGTATGTATTTACTATTTATGTAATATGTAGTTACCTATGTATAATATTTTAAAAATGTATAAACAGAAAATTATTAAAAAAAGTACTTATTTATTTTGTTTGAATTTGCTGTGGGTCGCAGCTGTAGGCTTTGTAGTGAATCGTTCCAGTTAGATGGACCACTTATCGGTGATGAAAACACTAATGACCTTATTTTCGATAGTAAATCTACGTACATGATGGAAATATCATAATATTGTATAATATAATAAAAATCGTAATTTCAACTTATTCACGAAAATGTTCGAGTAAGACAAGATTTTTTTGCAATGTTTAAATAGGAAATTCTAAGGACCGGGGCAAAAGTTCGAATGTACGACTTAATTGATAATAAATGCTGAATAAATATTGAATCTGTGTACAGCGTAATGCGTATACTATTTATATGAACATAATAATATGTAACTACCTATGTAAGTATATACAATATTTACAGTATAAACGATGAACAACGCTTTTTATTGTTTGATTTTGGTATATCTAAATAGTGAGGGTAACCTAACCTACACATACGCTATACACATAGATACATTCATGACATATTGACATATACATTAAATGAATTGGATAAACCCCCACTTTGACATAAAAAGAAATTGTGTTCTCTATAAGATGTTTGTGCAAACAACCAGACATCTCCATTTTCATAATTTTTTCAGGACAAGTGGAAGAAAATTTGTTATCTCATTTACCACCAATGGCGGGAAAAAATTAATTTTGCTATGTCTTTGGTATTAATCAATAGATAATTCTGAATTATTTGGGTTGTCTCCATAGATAATAGAAGAATGGATAGGCCATGTTAAATCATACAACGCAAGTGGTCGAGGTCTCTTAAGTATGAGAGATAAGGCAGTTTCTCACTCCCGCAAGTGGCGATTTTGTTAGGTTATGTTCAAATTAAATATGGTTAAATTAAAATAGATAACATCCTTTGTCTTGTTCATAGATCATATATTCTATATTATCTATATTATCTATGTTTTGTTCTGTGATAAACTGATAGCATTAAATTATTATCAATCTATTGCCTTTTATAACCTCAAAATATTTTTCTAATTAATTCCTGTGTGATAAGGTTGCATGGCCGATCCATTCTTCTATTGGGGAAGCAGATTAACAAAACGCGCTCTGGTGGAAACAATTTGTACCTTCCAATTCGGGATTCATAGATATAGTTTTATGTTGGTTATTTTACTTTTTATAATAAATTAATTTTGCTATGGAAACTTTATACGCTTTTATAGCTAACTGTATATGTTGGTAAATATAATTTCTACTAATATTATCAAATACGTTCAAATTCACTTCACTTAAAGCAAAATGTATTCGAAATGCCGCGAAAATACATACAATCTCCCGACTGCATGTAGGGGGGAACCCCGCCCAACCATCAGTACGATAGGCGTCGACAGCGCTCCCAGTGTTAATCTGTTTTCCCAATTATCCATGGTTGTCGCAGTAGAATAAATTGTAGGTTATTACATCAAAGTTTTCTCGTGCTTGTATTTAGTGTACTTTACTGATTCCTTGACACTATGGCGGTTTTCGTGATAACTTTAATAGCATTAATGCTTGCTGCAAGTACAGCTGTGAATGCCGAAAGAGTCTACAGCTATCGCATGTGCCCTAGTGAGTATTGCATAATTGGTTATAACTTATAAACTTATACATACTATTAATATTATTAGATATTACTCCGTTTTTTTGTATTACTTACTGTTTTACGGTTCATTTTCTTTTTTTCAGATACTGATTGTGAAGTTTATGATATGTTTATTGATCCATGTCCCGAAGCCCAATACAACCGAGCATGTGCATGGCCAGAAAACTCGAACACGTCTGTCGCATTCATATATAAGCCTGGTAAGTATAATTAATATTCTTTAAATAGTACTGTAACACAATAATAGAATATAAAAAGTTCGGCTTGATAATATTATGTTGGTAGGTAGGAAGGAAGGTACCTACTTAGGCCACTTGGATAGTTGCATACAGGGGCACAGGGCTGGATCTTAGCTTTTCAACAACCGTGGAAATTAAAAAAAAACGCCCATCTCTTGGAGATGACCAGAATTAGTATTTTTTTTTACGAAAAATCAAGCACACTCACACAGTATTGTGAGGACCAACATTTACAAATCTTTCGCAATATAGGTACTGGACCAATAATTTATTTACCACAAATAATTTAAACGATTTTAACTTAAAAATGAAACATTTTAAATTTTAAACTGGTCATTAACTGGTATATCAAGCTGGTCAATATTTCTAAGTTTCAGATTTAGAATAAATAATATTGATAATAATGACATATGTATGAATTATTTATTAACAAATCCAAATTAGGTATCCATTGCTTCTTACTTTTAATATAAAAAGCTTTATGTAAAAGAACAATATTTAATTTACAACATTACAATATTATACAGTTTTCGTTTTTAATATTTGTTACAATCAAAACTTAACAAAAATGTAATTATTTAGGTACCTACTGAAAATTGTAATATAATGATTATAACATGATAAAGACATTTACTATAATATCATGGATTATAACTTATGGATTAAATGTATATACAAAAATATCTACAATCTGCATTTTATAAATTTCCAAAATAATAAGAACCCGGTTGTATATTTGACATTTTGGACTATAAAAATAAATTAGAAAAAAAAACTAACCAAATAGAATATAAATTTCCTATTAAATTATTTTAATATAATATGTAAGACATAATATTCAATATGACTTGGGCTACATATCAGTGGGATAGTATTTTTGTTTCAATCATTTAATTATGTTGTACTTTTGTACTATCAAGTTTATCATGAAAATTAATAGTTGCATACTTGTTTTTAAAAAGTAAACACAAATAACAAATTATATTATATTTTGTGTTCTTTTTCACTTATCTAGTGGCCATGGTGATATTTATAAAAAAGTTCAGTTTATAAAAAGTAATTTGTTAAATATAAATACTTTTATAAACCTACGAACATGTAATTTAATAAATAATCTGAAAAACATTAAATCAGTAGGTAGTAATTAAGTAACATTTTATGTACTACATAATATTTTTATGCAGTACTTATCTGAAAAAATATATAATTGTTAATTTAAAATTATATAACAATGAATTACAATTAAAAGTGCCATTTTTAAGATTAAGTTTTATGTGACTATCCACATAATATATTATATTCAAGAAAACGATGTCATTTACCATACTTTGTTATGTCACTAATCCTAGAGTACATTAATCTATGATAGACTGAGGCGTGTACACTCCCACTGACAGTTGCGGACGTGTATTTCCATGGCACTGCGTACCTATTTCATATTTCTTTGGCATATAGTATAAATGTTTTATGTCAAAAACGACTAGTTTCCAGGAACATTAAACAAAACATTGAAAAATCATTCAAAATCGTAGACAATAGTGTCTGGGCTGATAATTAATTAAATTAAATTTTCATTGTACCAACTTTTATGTTAACTATTAAGTAGAACTTTAAAATAAATTCTTCGTTATTATTTTTAAGTGACTTAAGATAATTGGATTTTTATTTTATATGACTTACAATATTAGGGCATGCATTTAAAATTATTACTAAACTGCATTGTTCTATCGTCAAATTATTCGTAAAATAAACAGAGTTTTACCTTTAATAATAAATGTCTTAAAATTCTGATTTTTTGAAATTTTTGAACATACTTAAATACCACAATTTCAATTTAAGATTTTTCGTATTACTTAAAGAGTGTCTTGTGGAGATACAAACTTTTTATTGTAAGCTAATTAGTGAATAATTGTTTTTAAAATATTAAAGTATACCTAGTTCAAAATAAAATTCGAGTGAGAGTTTCTCAGTTATTAAAATGTTTACGGAAATTAATTCAAATTTACAATATAATAGGTACCTATTTACATATAATCACAGAACCTACTTAAACAGAGTTTATGGTACCTACCTACGACCTACCTTACTAGTACAACATAATTAACATAAGTACAGTAGGAGTCGGCTCCAAAGACATCTTTGGAGGGGAGAGTGCCAAGTCATAATTTTCAGAAAAATTTCGATATTATAATATGTTTCTTTATGTAATTTTGTTTGTAACAAAATACAAGGTTTTAGAAATACCGGCTTGGGTCCCCCTGGAGCCGCCCTTGTCTATAACTGATGTGTTATATTGGTACTTGAATTTGAATTCAAAATCTATTTAACCGATTTTGTGAAAATTTAAAATGTATGAATTTTTTTTTCAAATACAAATCTTTGGCCATCGGTCAACGTCGGGTGGGACCGCTGGACCAGAGCTATATAGTATATTAAACATTTGGAAATATTAAGATTTTTAACTGCTCTTTACATTTGAACATTAATTATAAATTAATTTCAGAATTTGGTGCGCACTTTCCAAGAACACAACTATACGCTGAAACCTTTTTGACGGACTTCCCGTTTCTGGGCATTAACACGAACGCATGCTTATACACAAGTTGTCCCGTAGTGAAGGACACCCAACAGTATTGGCTGTTCGATTTATTCGTACCACCCAAAAAATATGTGAAGACTCATTACACAATCAAGTTCATGTTATGGGACATCTTTAACAACCACCAACAGTGCTGCTTTACATTCGACGTCAAGATCGTTTAACGGAAATGGAAAATACTCGCAACTAACAACCTAAATATATTTATTGGCACCCATAATAACATATTATATAATATTTTAATACAGCATCATTAACGTTACTGAACTCGCCTTTGTGCCTCTCTACTATTATAGGAAAAATCATAATATTAAAATGTACATCATAGTTAAATTTGTATTGTACAATTACTTAAAATATAATCATTTGTATATTTTATCCCGTGAAAAATACAAAAATTAGAAACAGAACCATAGATCCATTTTTAATTATTTATAGTTTTTATTAGAAAGAACTAAATTTGTCAACAATGCAACAATTGTAATAATTAATAACAATTGTATTTATTAATAAAAAGGTGGCTCTAAGAAATTTTATTATTTAGCCTGAAATTCTATTTTACCATTTTTCACCACTTTATTGGTAAATTTACCGATATAATTTTTTTTTCGTAAATTTGCCATCACTACTATACACAGACATACAAACACACACACACAAACATACACGCCCAAACATTATCTATTCTGTTGTTGTGAATTATATGTATAGTTTTATCGAAAATACAAACATTTCTAGGTTTTTTCGACTCGACCATATTCAAAATTAATATAATAATATTAAAAAGTAAAAATGAGCCTATGACTTTATATTTGTAGAATTTGGGTGGGGGGGGGGATAGGTAAGATGACTATAGCTCTTGTAGATTTTTCGTCCCCAAACGTCAACCGTGACTAAAATAGCTCACATACATTTTACTTACAATAAAAATAACGATTAATCATCAGTCATCTAGTCTTGTTACACATATTGTCTTTTACAATATTTATAAATTACAAATACATGAATCCAATACAGTATACAATATTACTATATTAGTGTCCTACATTACTCACAGGTCACTACTCTACACCGTCTACACAGGCATACAGTCACAAACATTAAATAATCTGTTGTTGTGAAGTTATAGTTTTATCGAAAATCTAAATAATATTTATAGGCACATATTATGTGCATTTTATCATTTTATTTTCATATTTAATTGCGGTAACGTAGCCTGCAGGCCCCCTCGCACCCACGGGTTACAGAAAAAATTTAATGATTTAAAATAATTTAAATGATACGGTTAGCACACACACAAATATATACTATATAGGTACTCGAATATCATAAGGCTGGGTATGAGGTAGGTACCTACATACATACATACATACATAGACCCTCGTATAAACTAAACCCCATAATAACCACGGTCCACGTTGATAAGAAATGACACATTACTAATTAGTAGGTACTTACCTAAGGTTAAGATGATTTTTAATATAGTAATCATGATTGTCCTTTATTAACCAATTATTAGAAATGACCGTTTAACAGGGCTGACTCTTTAATCCGTTCATTGGGAAATATCAATTTCACCAAAAGACGTGTTAATTATAATGGCAAAATCAAAAAGAAATGTATAAATATATATTATAATATATTATACTATAGAATATTCTGAACATCACTACGAATTTAATTTTTACTTAATCAATAAAAATGGTTAAAATTACTTATTATTATTGTTCGCGTCGACTGATCTGTTTACGCAAATCGCATTGGAAAAAATTGTTGGTATAATGTTGTTAAATTTAATAATTATTATTGATTTTCAAATATTTTAATAACCAAGTGTGAGTAGTCCATTATTTTTGTAAATTAGCTTAAACAATTTATGGTGTGGTCGCAAACCGTGACTGTGTTGGCTTGTCCACACAACGTAAATCATTATTATATTATGCAATATTGTCATATCTATAATAAAATTCACGGTAGTATAGTGGTAAGTATCCCCGCCTGTCACGCGGGAGACCGGGGTTCGATTCCCCGCCGGGGAGCCAATTTGACACGGCTTCGGTGATGGCGTAGCAAGGTCGCAACCAGCCGGTCGTTGTGTTGGTGGTGAGAGCCGAGAAGGTGACTCTTAGAAAAGAACTTTAACACTGGTTTTGTTTCGGCTTGATTGAAATAAAACTTTATTTTGTGAAACACGGTCGAACAATACACACGATGACACCGTGTGTCCGGATGCTAATACGATTACAATCGTGGTTTTCGGTGTGTCCTAAAGGACGGCCGTTACAAAAGTACAAACGTTGACGTTGTATATAACGTGGTTTTACCGTGCGATAGTCGGGTGCGGTGGTGTGTACATGTCAACGATTCAACGGTCGTAGGACGAGAGAGCGAATTGCCGGCGGCCGGTACTCGTATTGCGCGACTTGCCTTCCCGTCCCGCCTTGTGCCTTTGTGGCGTGGTGGGAGAGTTGGCGATGTCGCGCTGTAGCCCGTGGTGGCGGTTGACAAAAGCGTAGACCGGCCGCTGCGGTACCTGTACTTTGTACTGGTTGCCGCTGCGTACCGTGTCAGCTCATATAGGCTAATGTGCATTTTTATACAATACTATAATTTTTCAATATCGACTATTGTCATATGTATCATTAATGGATCATATAGCCTACTGTGCATTTTGTATGTATTATTATTGTACATTGTATAAGTGTAGGTACCCATGCCAGAGGTGCATTAAGAGAGGGAGGAAGTTCCTCCAGGTGGCAGAGATGGCCAAGAAGACCGAATAAAAAATTATTTAAAATTATTTAGGCTTTTCAAAGTGAAGCAATTTTAAGTTGTCGAATTTACTCAATATTATTCTTTATCTATTGTGAGTGATGTGTGCCTGTATGTGTAGTGACTGTTCATTAGTACGTTTCCCGAATGCTTTATATAATTAAAGATAAACTATACGTCTAAGATTCTTGGAAATTCATAACGAACATACATAGGTACTCGCAGTCCCTCGTCAATATATTGTGCGATCGAAAAAGTTTCAACACAAAAGTGCCAAAGAGTGGAAGAAAAATTCAAACATTACTAAAATCCAAATTTCATTGATTTTTAGTATTGTTTAATTTGTATAATAGTACCAAATTAAATTTATTGTTTTTCCAAATTCACCATTATTTTAGTTACTATTAAGAAAAAAATCAAAAATCCATTTTTTACATAGGTAACCTAGAAAATAGAATAAGGAATTCAAATATTTTTTCAAAATTAAAACTGGATTTCTGGAAGTATATTTTTTTTTATTCCCTTATTGGTCTAAACTCTAATTGCACGGAAAAAGGACCAACTTTCAACAACCTTGAACTTTTAACATTGATTTTATCATCATATAGTTATTAATTGATTAATATCAGTGGCGTTTTCTCTGGGTGTGCAAGTTGTGTGTTAACGCCCTAAACATTGATGTCATACATGTGTGTAATATTGTAATTTGTAATTCATATTAGTATATTACATGGTTATATAATTTTATTTACAAAATCTTAAAATAATTGTCATGTAAAAATAATAATATCAAATAATAAACTATTGTCTATTTTAAGCTCTAAACTCGACCATGCGCCCGCGCCGTCTGCAGCTACGACGCCGATTACGGAATAATTCAATAATATTGTATTATGTTGTGTTTGTGTTGTGGACGTTAATAATTCGAACAACGACTTGTGGTATCTAATATCTCGTATTCGTAATTTGTCGTGATATTTTCGGATAACTTCGGTGCCATGTTAATACTAGACCAAGTCGTTGAAAATGAAATTAACGACTAGCCACTACTCACTAGTCTAGCGCTAGCCTATACACTGTGTTTGGACCGTTAGTGGGGATCGTCGCGGCTGCACGTTATCGTGTTTATGTCGTAGCCCATAGGTAGTAGGTACTATACTGCAAGACTGCAACGCCGATCGTCGAAAACATAATATTATATAATAAATAATTTTAATAATATGTTGATTATTAATAGTTGATACGAATTTATTTCCCATAAGGGGGGTTTTCCTAATTGTTTTCCTCACACATTAACGCCTAACGCCGAAAGTCAGGAAACGCCACTGTACACTCTGTATATCGGACAACAACAACATGCATACACCTCTATGGTAGATAGGTGTACTGTATTTTTACTTTTCTGCGAATTATTTTTCGTGCACGAGTGTTTATAATAATATAATGTTAACCCGATAAGTCGGTAATGAAAACAAAATTACCACGAAGACCGTAGGTTTACCATAGGACGTGGGCTTATTTCCAGTGAGTAGTGACTGAAGAAATCGTATTC